CTATCATTAAAAATAAAATACATATTTTAAAACCATCTTTTTTACATGTTATGTTTCGGCTTGGGTCTAATTGTCCACGCTCAACTGACGTTGGCTGTAAATCACCACGGTCCCTTACGTTATGGCAAGCTTTGCGGCCACTTCCTGGAGTCGTGGAGTTTTGGCATTACGAGTACGGTACATTTCATTAAAGCGTGTTTAAAAAAAAAAGTATTTGAAAATATTAATTATTTTTTTAAATGTCCATTCTATTCAGAGGTCCACATAATGTATGCAAATGCATGGTGTTTATGCAAGAACTAGCTTTATTTAATTTGTACCTTAGTATGCGAAATGAAACATAGCACAGTTTCATGCCGAGACTTGTTCGGCACATTAATTTCGTACTCTTGGGTGATGCGTGACGTATTTGCATTCTCAGGACGCTTTCACACCTCTTCCGTTAGCAATAAACTAGGACCGGAAGCCATTCATATCAGTAAAAAAAAGTGAATTAGCTGAACATTATCGTAAATCTCTCAGTGATTCGTACAACATTGTGATAGGGGAGCTGCAACTCTTATTTACTGGTGTCTATGGCTGGAATTCAACATAGTGGCAGACTGATCACAAGTCTCTTTTGCAGCCGATGTAGGCCTATCAAAATGTTGCAGTCGCCCACACCAGGCTGCATTCCAGAAGTAGCCGTTGATGTCTGGTGTTTGTACCACACCTGTAAGCTCCACTCATGTATAACACATGTCAAGAGTGACGGACAGGCACTTAAATACATGCTCTTTTTGTTCTCCTGCCTGACAATTGTGCTCTTCATTTTTTTTATTTGAGGTTTTATTGAATTTTACATTTCTTTTGGACACATTTGCCCAAGTGTTTGAAGCATAGTGCAAAGCTTGTCTGTGGCTTGAAACATATATTAGAAGTGCACTTGGGTATTTAAATTTGTGAAATATCAGTTTGAATAATCCCACTTATTACTTTGTGATATGTTTGCCCAGAGATATAGTCCTGTCACACAAAACAACTATGTACATGTGTTGAAAGTTAATGAATGGATAATCAAACATCAGAAATTTAACATTCAAAATAATTTAGTCTTCATGACAAATTATTGTCTCTTAAGCAGTGCCATTTTCGATTTTAAATCCACATTAATGATTGAATTCCGCACTTGTTTTAGTAACCTTGTAGTGCATTTTCAAGGAGGGATCTTGCACTTGATTTACAATGGAACTTGGGCCAGCCCAGATGAAAGCACACATCTCTAGGCCACCCTTTTTGGTGGTGTTTGTATATTCTATGAACCAAAATAAATAACCAATTAATCAGTTCTCACCTAAGATGTCATGGTAATCATCTTGATCTACAATAACATACGTCTCGATGTGTAAATGCATGGTTTAAATATTCAGGAAGTATTAGCATTTGAATTGAAAAATGTACCTCGGAAAATCGTAATAGACGTGTGTAACAAGCCGTTTAATGCACCTGGGCACATGTTACAATAACACTATATTTGGTTAAACCTGCTTTTGGTAAAACCTGCTTTTGGTAAAACATCCGTTGCATTAACCCCCCCCCCCCCACCGGCAAAAATGCATGGCTTCCCAAGTATTACATAAGCTCAGTTCTGCATGTCCACTTGAGTACATTATTGAAGCGTAAATAACCAAGTCTTTTGTATGTTTTAATCAAATTATTGATGTTTGGAAGTATCACGTGTACATATTTATAACCGCTAAATATAAAAGTATTTTTTTATTAAACCATTTATTTAAAAAGCTATTGTATAGATATTTTAGAGCCAGAGTTTTAGATTTAAGTGGATGTTTTTGTGAAGTAGATATCGATTTGTATATCAGAAAGTAGATGGATTTTCATTGGTGTTTGGAGAGCATTGCCAGTCAAGGTTAAAGAGAATATATTTTCCTTCAAATAGAGGTTTAAGTCACTTACCAAATCAGTCTTGAGTGTAGGTATGTAAAGTGCGTGTTTCAGAGCTAGTCACTGGCGTGTCGAGTGGAGGAGGTAGTCAAGTGTAGTGTGATCAACCACAACGTGGGAAGGCTTCACCCTCTGAAGTGTTTTTCTCTTACCATGTCTGGGCACCAGACATTGCACATTTGGATGCCATTGCGTGAAGACCATGGGTACATTTAAGTTGGAATGTGCATTCCTGAACACTTCCTTCCACCGTGGTTTGAATATACTAATCCTTGCCTCAGTTTACACCATGATTCATCTTATAATTGCATTGGGTATGAGATGAGTTGTTTTTTTTGCTTGAGATTCTGGAAATTCTAAATGCAATTCATGAATTTGAATTCACTGGATTTCTTTCCAGACTGACTGCCCTTAACTATACTGGAGGTGACAGGTGAGGTGGAGCCTCCCGTGAAGTCGCATTCATTTGGTAGATGTTTGTGTTTACATATATGATATAGAGAGCCTGGCACAAGCGTCGTGGTGACTTCACCGCTACTTAGTGGCGAATGGCGGTTGTTGTTGATATAGAGAGCCATCTGAATGAAGGGGTTCATTTTCCCATAAGCACAGCCCACTCCCCAATCGGCACCACTCATTGTTGATCCCTTCACCATTAGCCCTGGCCCTCCGCTGTCACTCCTGCCCCCTCCTTTGCTGGCCAACTCTTGCATTTATTGCCGCGCAACTCAACGTACACCTGATCCTCACCACTTACCAGACGCTCGCTCACCAGTCAACTGAATTAGTTACTTATCACCCGACATCTCACACTCTCCAAATACTCGCCTGACGTTTGATCAGACACTCACCACTCACTTGGCCCTCAGCAGACATTTCACACTCACCAGGCATATGACACCTCTCACCACTCAACAGACAGTCACTCCTCAGGATGCACTCACTTGACGCAATTCACACTCACCACACATTATAATTTGTATGACTGTTACCTTTCATACTTTGCATTATGGCTTTCAATAATACTTCAAGTCCAGCAGGCCGTGAATCACTGTTTGCAATTAGCATGCATTCATGGTTTTTCAGAAATTAAAAGTCATAGGTTGTCCATCGGTCAAATTCAAGGCCAAAGGTCACTATTTTTCCGGCTGCTCTTGCCCCTACAATGGCCCCTGTAGGACGAAGACGATTGATGTAAATGCTGTGACAGATCCATTGACATGCACCGCATAACTGCCGCCTCTTTCATTCATCTTCATTCTTTAGCCTTGCCCCTTTTCTTGGTGATCCCACCTTTCCGTTCACGTCACCACAGCGTCTTGGGTTTGTTGGCCGGTTAATGGTTTGCACATCACTTTGCCAATACCACAGGACCTTGACACATTCTGGTCAAAATAAGCTCTTGTCCATGTATGATGAAACTTAGTAAAGTAAATGCTGTAATCAAATGACTGACTTGTAGATAAGTCTTGTTTATATTGATATAGGTGTTTGTGTAATGAAAGGATGGAATGTGTGGGTTGTGTATTGACATATAAAAGGAATGGTGTACTTATTACCAATTTGGCTGTACAGATACTAATCTCTTCGAACATTTCATGTGCAAGGCAAGAAAGGTCTCGGTGATTATATCGGATTTAAATTAATCTTTCATTTAATGTGTTGGGTTTCGTCCTTGTGTATAACTCTTCAATGCGTTTTTGGATTTATTTTGGCATGCCCTCTGACATGCGGAACAAGCCAAATCTTTTGTTCAGAAATTAGACGAAACACGAAGATTACTCTCTCTGGGGTTGTAAATCTCCAATGCCGTGCACACATTGAAGATGATGCACTCGTGACTCTTGACGCCCGAGTAGATGGTGGTAATCCATACAGGTCATCTTGCCTGTGGCTCCAGTCACTGTGCAGAGAAGAAACATGCAGGGTTCTGCTCCCAGAAGCAGTCTTATCACATGACCCCACAGCCGTTGTGTACATACATTAATGATGAAGACAGTTTAGTTTAAGGGAGAAGTAATATTTGTAGAAAAGGGTAGTTCAGGCTTTCTTGGAATTCAGCACTCGGTCGTTGACTTGCTCTATGAAAGTTGAATAACTAAAGATTGCCCGATAAGCTGGTTGGCATACCTCCCTGAGAAACCGTCGACATTCCTGGTACATAACGTAATCACAGCAACTACAGTGCTCGGTCAAATGAACTCTGCATTCACCATTAACATTTTCCCGACAACAGAATCGACTATTACGCATATTTCTGGTGTAAGGCAATGTAGTGAAGTTGTTTTTACGACGCAGCCTTTTAATTTCTATTTACTTTTGCGATGCTTGCCCATAAAACACTTGGAGTGAACGCCTCAATCCATACGTGAACCTTAAATTTCAGCATTGTATTCAGCGACCACCTGGTTGTATCTGCCATTGTTACATATGACTGTAATTAGTATCAATATGTGATGTGGTACCTTTGGATCAGTTTCAGTTGGGCATAAGCTTGAATTTCCATAATTTTGATCTTAATCCAGCTTCAGTAGCTATCATATATATACTTTTATTTATTTTTTTCCAGTAGTATTGCTTCCGACAGAACTCTTCGCTTGTTTAACAACCTTGTCCATGACTTGGGTTGTGATAATATTTATCTCGAGTCCGACTTTGCACCTTCTTAGTGAATGATTAAATCGTTACCTGCAATACATTTTCATTGGCTGTGATAATGACAATGTGTCATATGCCTTGGTTCTTGAATCCATATGTTGGAAAATATCTTCTAATGTTGCTGTCAAATTGTCTTGGTGTGAGTTATTGCTTGCCTAACTCATCTAATTTGTTTTTGCTGTGGTATGCTGCTGCACTGTCAGTGTATATCGAAATGTATATTCAACAATCTCAATTATGTCAAATTATATCAATTTAATTATAAATGATTGGATAAAAAATTACGATGTATTTTAAATATGCTTTGTGGGCTTGATTGGATGTGTATACACGTTTTTGTATGTGCGTAGGTGTGCATTTATCTACTTTTGTGTGTGTGGTGCGTATTTTTGTGCGTCTAGGCACGCATAGCGTTCTTACAAGGAGAGCGGAAGGGACAGGAAAACCTGAAAAAGGACCTGGTGAGGAGAATAAAAATGCTGGAATATGCCCTGAAACAAGAGAGGTGAGTTCATCGGGCTGTCTTTCGCAGGAATCTCAATGCAACATGGGTCTTTATTCTACACGAAAACATACGTGACCTGTGCTGTAGATGACCATGCGAATGTCTTATGTGTGTACTAATTTGTAATATACCTGTACTAGCTGGTGGGGGAGGGGGCCGTTACCGAGACCAAATTGATGAGGTTGTTCATAACATTACACATTACACTATCTACTGTATACTGCTCGGATGTACGTGTGTAAAGTTGTTACATACCCTCACCATGTGCTATAGCTTGGCTGTATACAATAAATGGTGGGGGTATTGCGAGGAAATAAGTGTCTGCCCTCAAATAAATTCTCATCGGTCATAAATTGTATATAGTGAAATAAAAGACGTTGGATAGGTATCAACCATTAATGTTGTGCAACAACAGCACCTGTGTATCAACATTGCGTATACTCATACGCCCTTTCCCACAGCATGGTACAGATGGAGTACAGGATAAAATATTTGCGTGCTCTAACCCAAAAAAAAACTGTATTATGGACTTCTAGAGTAAAAAAAATATATAACTTATTATTAGGGATTTTGGGTTAGATCGTGTAAATATTTATGCGTTCTAACCCAAAAAACCTGTATTATGGATGATATTGGACGTGAAAGTGTACGTGCTAAACATACTGTGTGTGTGTTTGGGTGATGTGTTTACCTTCCTTGTACTTGTACTACTATCATGTTTTTGTATTGTTTGATGTTGTAGCGTTCTTACCCCGTGCCTCTACTGGACTTTATGGCTTAACAGATACCTCCTATAAGAATAGGTTTTACCCTTTCTTGCAATACAAGAAGTGTTAAGATGTTAAAACACCAAACAGAAACCTTTTGCAAGGAATCAAGTTTGCATTAACTACACATACTTGTGGTGAACATACAAACAAAAATTCCTCCTGCAGTATAAATATTCTGGTTGTGATGTACATCAGTCCAATGATGCCAAATTAACATCTGTAATAATAAATCGCATTACCGGCATCTGTTTTGATCCATATTGCTCACCGTAGCTATTGACCTGTTTGGAATGTACCACTCGCTCAGCGGGGGGACTATACTAACAGTTTAGCATGGACTTATAGTTTAAAACAAAACAAAAAACACAGCATTATAAAATCATTGCAACTGTTATTGTACAATGATTAACAAATGACAATTTAAATCAACAAAATGGGGTTACATTTTATTTGTAAAATTGTGAAATAATGGGATACAATCACCTGTGGTTGATAATGGTTTCTCTCTCCGTGGGTTTTAGCAGATAATTTTTTGTTATTAAATTGTAAATAAACTTTAAAATATGTTTAAAATATTTTTTTTATTTTAATTTAACTTTTAAATATTATTTAAATATAAAAAACACTTATTATTTGTGTGTTATCATCCCCGATTATACATTTAGTTTTGGCCAATCAACAGGTCGGAAAGAAAGAGTGTTGCTGTGACACACGCACGAAACTACTAACTTTTATACCTATATAGTTGAGAAGGGCCTGAAGCATTACCACCTTAAAACACTTGGCTCACCAGCCCCATGTCGGTATGCGCATTCAAAACCAAGAACACCTCATGTATATGTGAAGGGTCTTCTGACTATTCGACAACCCTACTTGTTGAGGTAAGTGCATCGACGATTTACGAAGCATTGACTGTTGGACAACTACCCGAGTTAATCTCAGTTGTAGCCTTGCTTCAGGGGTCGCCAACCAAAATAACAAGAGACAATTTTTCTTCGAATTTGGTTAAAAAAAACTTTCTTGTAAGAGCCGCAATACAAGTGGTGAATACAAGACGTTGGTCCTTAATAAATAACGTCACGAAGCAGCAGTCCTTAAAGAGGCGCCTGTGGCTTTGGAGCTGCAGGTTGTCGACCCTTGGACTAGTCCTTTGCATTCAGCACAATGGGGGGCCAGAAGATTATCGGTGTTCATGTAATGTCTCCATACCAAGTATTTGCATAGCACAAACTACTCTGTGAAGACCGATGGTGTTAAAAGTCCAGCGCCATCTGACCATGGATAAAAAGGGGGTTGTACTAGTTGCATTACTGGTGATGGCAAATCCAGACAAAATAATAGTTATGCTGTTAAGAAATTTGTGAAATTTCGAGCAAGCTGTTTCCATTTAGAGTGGCTGCTGTCAGCCATGTGTTCATTAGCTGTCTTAGATGAGGGTTATCAGCACTGTGGTGGCTTAAGAATAACAGTGTACAAGGCCCTTTGGGAATTGGCACAGCAGTGGCAGTTTATCCCTCTGTGTGAAATGTTTACCAAATGGCAATTATTTTGATGGACATGGTGAGATTGACCATTTTCCACACGATGGGTTAAGTACATTATTTGTAACTAATCACAGCAGGGTGCAGTTTGCACAAACAATTTATGCAAGATTTTTAAGGCACTCCTATTGAGGCGATCTTACCAAAGTCATGATTAAATTATACTTTTGTACATGTGTTTTGTATTAATTTGTCTTAAATATTTATTCTCAATGTTTTAATTTTCATAAACTACAGTACCACGATTTCACAAGTTTACCCTTTATGGAAGCTGCCTCCCACGACACTTACACCCACCCATGTCATCGTTTTTATTTTATTTTTGGGGCCCTCTCCCCAGAGATGTATTTACTCCCATACTGGGAGAGGTTTAAACTCGAGAGCTCCGGGAAAGTCCAATATTTCTATCACCGTTGGATGTGCCAAGGCCCACTGCTCACTGTCGGCAGTGCTGTTGGTTACGGGTGCCTTTGGGCCAACTGGCAAGAAGACATTGGTTGTGTAGGGCTCACAGGCCCATGTTCCTCAGCATGAGCACATGGGTTCCTGTGCTGATTGTGGGGTGCTGTTGAGGATGTCCTACGGCCACGTGCGCGGTGTTTGGTGTTGTTGGCTACGTCAGGCAAGTTTATATCCTCTGCTTTGTCTTGAAGGTGAGAAGACACTGGGAAAGTGAAGTGTGTCTGTGCATGACTGGTGAAGGTGGATGCCAAGTCAGCTGCAGCTGCAGCCTCAACTAGCGCTAAAAATACATGAAAAGTCATCCCGTGGTGGGAATGAGCCGAAAGCGTAAAAACAACAGTTATGGGAGCATCCTAAAGGGTCACCAGAACCCATCACCACTGAATCGCTGCAGAGGACATCTGTGAGTGCTCGCCATGTCGGCGGGAGCCTCCAGTGTCCCCCCAACAACAACAACCGACATTCGCCACTAAGTGGCGGTGATATCACCATGGTGCTTGTGCCAGGCTATGTGCACGTTAAGGCGTCCCCTCATGCCTACCGTCAGCAACGGCCGCAATGGAGTGGCCCTCCTTGCAGCAGGCCAACCCTCAGCTACCATGAAATGAAAATATGGTATCTAAAAAGATCCTGAAGGCATTTTTTAAATGAGAAGCACGTTCTCATTGCCGTGTAAGTGTCCATTGCAGAGGCAGCATCAATAAATAACTACTTTTGTTTGGACGCTGAATGAGCATGGCTTTGTATGTAAGCTTTCCTTTCTGTAATGCTGCCATCAAAATGGAACATATACTTTAACAGGCTTATAAACCAACAAGCACTCTTGCGGATCCTCTTACTGGAATTGTCAAATGTCTTAGTGGACAATACTGCTAGTAGGAGCATGAGTAGTGGTCATACTCTGTAGCCTGATGAGATGATTAGTGTTACAGCAAAGGAATTATTTTAAGTTAAGAGTACATGTATTATATAGAGAATACCAGTTTTCATAGCAATAGGTTAACCACCATTTACTTTACATACCTTTGAAATAATATTTTTGTAATACATTACTCTGAATAAAAATCTTGAGCATCCAGAGAAAACTATACCAGCCCCCCACCCCACCACTCACCAGACCTGTCATCTTGTGACTTCCATGATGTTTCCTCAATTGAAGAATCACTTGTGAGAAAGCAATTTTATAGTGACAGTGATGTATGCTGTATATGAGTGGATTGAGAAGCAAAATAAAGAGTGCTTCCTGGTAGGGATTAAAGCCTTCGAATGTCGATTGGCTAAACGCATTGCCCGTCAGGGGGACTGTGTAGATAATACAATTTCATGTAGGTCAATGCTTTAATCACTGTTCGTGCAATAATGTATGGCAGTGTGCTGTACTATTCTAGCCTTGACAAATGCCTGGCATTCTAATACACTTGTCAATAATTGGCCAATATTAAGTAATATATAGGGTTGCACGGTAACGTTGGTAAAATTGTCATCAATTGGGTATTTTTGCTTAATTTAGATGCGTTATTTAAATGGAATTTAAAAGCAGATTTTTCACACTTTATATGTAATTGAAGGTTGTTTGGATTAGGCCGTATTGTCAAGTAAATTTGTGGATTGTTTATTTTTATATAGCTATGAAATTCGTTTGTAGAACATCAAGCATATTTACCACTTGGCCTGTGGCTGCATCTGTGGCACTGAAAGTTTTAAACTTAACTTTTTATTTTACCAGGTACTGCCCACTGAGCTATATAGCTTTTGTCAGTTATGACCCGGCCATGAATGATAGCGCAACCATGTGGCTTTGTTTAGTTTATTGTCCTTCCCCCGCACCTCCGATTAGCACAGTTGGCTGTGCTAATCGGTACGAAAGAAATTCAACATGTATGTATGTTGAACTTCTTTCGCACTGTACGTGACCAACCATGCTAATCGAGGTGCGCAGGAAGGATGACAAACTTAACACAAAAATCATACATCATGTGGACAAACCGGAAGACCCGGAAAAAATTCACGCGACCAGGCGAGGGAGTTAACGTCTCGCCAACGCAGCGAGATGTGGAGGGTGGGAACAATTGGTGTGGGTGGCTTCATGATGACAAGAATTTCACGTAGAATAATATAATAATGACACATTGATGTTATGTATTTCCACTATACATTGAATATACAGTGATTAAATACTGTATAAAGTGAGCCTAAAGCAGTTTAATACAAACAATGCATCCACTAT